GCTGGGGACAGGAGGTCTGCCCCGGGACTACTTTGTTGAATTTGAAACACACTTTAGAATAGGAGCCTCTATATTAACACAAAGTAAATAATAGAGACAAATGGAGGAATACAAAAAAAGTAGGGGGCCTGGCTGGTGTGGCTCAGTGGATAGAGCTTCGGCCTGCAGACCAAAGGGTCCCGGGTTCGATTCTGCTCAGAGGCACGTGCCTCGGTTGCAGACTCCTCCCAGGCCTGGGCCGTGGTTGGGGCACGTGCAGGAGGCGACCCATCGGTGTGTGTCTCTCACATGGATGTCTCTCTGTCTCTCCCTCTCTTTCCACTCTCCCCTAACAATCAATGGAAAAATACCCTTGGGGAAAAAGAAAATATATATATACATATATACATACATATATATATACACACACACACACATACACACACATACATACATACACACACATACATAAATACAGATTTCAGAGAGGAAGGGAGAGAGAGAGAGAGAGAGACAGAAACATCAATGATGAGATTCATTGATCAGTTGCCTCCTGCACACCCCACACTGGGGATCAAGCCTGCAACCCGGGCCTGTGCCCTGACCAGGACTCGAACCCTGAGCCCCCGATTCATAGGTTGACGCTCACCCAGAGCCACGCCAGCAGGGCTGAACTCCTGATTATGAAACGTGCAAATGCTCAGCTCTGAGCACTAAGCAGGTCCCCCAGCAGCAGTAAGCAAACTGCACAGAGGTTGTTTTCCAAAGAGAACTGCCCAGTAGCATCCTGTGTATGTGAACTTCAGAATCTTCTCCCTTAAAGAGCTCAGTGGATAGAGCTTTGGCCTGCAGACCAAAGGGTCCCGGGTTCGATTCTGCTCAGAGGCACGTGCCTCGGTTGCAGACTCCTCCCAGGCCTGGGCCGTGGTTGGGGCACGTGCAGGAGGCGACCCATCGGTGTGTGTCTCTCACATGGATGTCTCTCTGTCTCTCCCTCTCTCTTCCACTCTCCCTAACAATCAATGGAAAAATACCCTTGGGTGAGGATTAACAACAACAACAACAAAAGTGGGGGTGGGGGACGTGCTCCCCCGATGGCCAACTGATAAACGCAGAAGGGAGGGTGGGTGAGCCCTGCCGGACGGTGCAGCAAAGGCAAAGGAGTAACTCTACCAGCAGAGGCCACAGGTCACCGCACGGAATGATCAAAGGCAGCATCGCCCTCAGCGAGCCAGGCGGGTATCGGGTGCCTCCCCACGACACGGAGGCAGACACAGTAGAATCCCAGCCGATGGCCCAACCTCCGTCCCATCACGAGACGGAGCCGGGCAGCTCGCAGAGGGACGTTCTGCAGAGTAACTGGACCGTGTGGGCAGGGAGGACCGTGTCACGCAGGACGGAGGATGGGACGTGGTCCCAGAAGAAAGCGACAGAGACGGTAACCGGAGGCGAAGTCTGACTCTGCGGTCAGCGGCCAGAGCTCACGCGGCTGCGGGGCCGCAGGGAGACACCGAGGGCTGACTGGGCTGTGGGTCTCGCAGCCACACAGCCGAACAGCACGTCCCGGGTGTGTCACTTACGTGTGTTTTTACTGATTTTAGAGAGAGTGGAGGGCGAGGGGGAGGGAGAGAGAAACATCCACCAGCTGACGGGGAGAGCTGGTCAGAAACCGATCGAGAAACGACAGAGAGAATTAAAAAAATGTGAACATGGGAACTCAAGGGGCGAAATGAAAAGAATAAGAACAAAATGTAATTGCAGAAAAGACTGGTGAACAAGAAAAAGAGTCACGGGAACTACTCAGCCTACAGCCTGGACAGGGAAGAGGCTGCCCCGAGTAAGTGCCGGCCGCGGCGGCCCAGGAACGAAGACCGGGGCGCAAACCCCGTGCCCAAAAGGCCACGCAAACCCTGAGCAGAAAGAAACGAGGGAAACGACACAAAGTCACGTGACCACCGGGGTCACAGCAGCTTGAAGGGGACGACACACACAGAGGAACAGAGGAGCATGGCTCCAATGTCCTTTGAGAAACAAACGCCGCCCAGAAGACAAGAGAACGACAGGGGCTGAAAAAGAAAAGTACGGTCACCCCAGAATTCCATATCCAGCAAAAGTGCCCTTCAAAAGAGAGGGTGCCAACTTGCATGATGAGCCCTGGCTGGTGTGGATCAGTGGATAGAGCGTCGGCCTGAGGACTGAAGGGTCCCAGGTTCGATTCCGGTCGAGGGCATGTACCTGGGTTGCGGGCACATCCCCAGTGGGAGATGTGCAGGAGGCAGCTGATCGATGTTTCTCTCTCATCAATGTTTCTGACTCTATCCCGCTCCCTTCCTGTCTGTAAAAAATCAATAAAATATATTTAAAAAAATATTGCATGATGAAATGAATTAATTTTATATTAATTTTATGCTTCAATCAGGCAGATTATTTTAAAAGGTGATACAATAACATTTAAACGTTTTTTCAGGATCCGTCACTAGGATGGCTAGAAACATGAGAGGAAACTCTTTGAGCAGAAGGAAAGTGTCACCAGATGGAAACGCCAATCTACACAAAATATGTAGAACAGGGTGAGTATGTGGGTAAATAGAAAAGGCTTTTAAAATATGTTTTAAATGTCTTCCAAAGAGAATGGGACATCCACATAACAACACAGAACCATGCCGGTCGGTGTAGCCTGGTGGTTGAGTGTTGACCTACGAACCAGGAGGTCACAGGTCGATTCCCAGTCAGGGCACATGCCTGGGTTTCAGGCTCGGTCCCCGGTGAGGGGCGTGCAGGAGGCAGCCGATCGATATTCTCTCTCATCAATGTTTCTCTCTCTCTCT